AGAGATTCTGAGGTGGTTTTGTCAGACTTGAACTGCAGGAGCATCTGCAGCTGTCCCCAGGGAAGCCTCAGCTCAGTGGCTTGGAAGCTACAGATGCCTCTAAGGAAAAGATGTGATATTCGGGCATGGCTTTTGCTCTGCAATCATCTTTCTCTTCTTTCCTCTTGTTCTCAGGTTATAATAACAATTATATTTTCATTTAGGAAGGTTACTATCTTGCAGCACAACCTCATGGTGGCTGTGGACTCCCAGAGTGGCCAGTCCCAAGGTCTTTTGTGTGTTTGGTAATCTTAGGCATACTACCAGTGAACTCATTCAGTTTAAGCAAGATGTTCATTACCAGGTTCTGTGTTTTCAGGAAATCCTGGCATAACATCCTTAGAAAAGCGTAAATCATGGGTCAGGTCTTGCCATGGACTTCTGCTGCCAGCAGAGGACCCAACACCCCTTCTGCCTCCTGAAGTAGCTGCCTTCTCTTCATCTGCAGCAGTGATTGGGGAGTTTAGAGTGTGTAAAATGTTCCCAGGTGGGTATTGGGGCACCTTATCCTCCATGAACTTAAGTGCTATGAGACAAATGTTCAGAAAAAAAAAAAAAAAAAAAGGATGTTTTATATAGCTTTCAAATATGTCGTTATCTAGTGGTGAAGGATGGTTGAGAGAATGTCACTGGGCTATTTCTCCACAAATGGAGGAGCTTAGAAAATAATGCAAGTATTTTAATCTATTATTAAAATGGGAAGGTGTAGTAAGTAAGAACTTAAAGACAGAATTAGGCCTAGATCTGGATAGTTCATTTGTTGTCTGAATGAACAGCATAAATATTGGCAAAAACATTTATTAAACAGCTAAATGTAACAATATATGTAGTATCTTTTGTAGAAATACAATGTTGAGTAATACAAAGGGCATTTGTTTTATAATACTAATCTTTATATTTGCAAATCTCCTAAAATCTTTTTCAGGTGGAAAACTTACAAGTGCCTAAGAGACAGAACATTGCAAAACTTATAGATAAATTATATTATGCCAAAATGGAACAAAAACATATACTGATGGTGTTCAAGAGAAAAAACTATTCACAAGCGATTGGGAAACTGTAGAACTGTCTATTGTGCCAGAAGATGGCAGCAGAGAAACACGCTGATCTGCTGAGACATAAATTCCGCTCAGCTCTTGGCTTTAGGAAGTAGGTTTCATGGCAAAAAGCACAAAACTAAGTGAATGCTTTACTGACTTCGCTCTTAAGCAGTGCAATTAATGATGTACAGCTAAATTCAGCCATGCTCTAATAGTGAAAATTTATTTCAGTGTGCTTTAATGATTATCAAAAATGAATAGATGTTTTGGGATCATGAGAAGTTTGTTGGGAAAAAAGTGGTCAGAAATTTCTAGTGGAATTGTGGGGTTACTTGGCTTATATTTCATTTAGGAAAACCAAACATTAAAGTTAAATCAAAGTGCAAATACAAATTTAGAGCAATGAGTGTAACACATGTACACCATTTACTTGCATCAGCTGCTCGAGGGAAACTATCTGACTTGTAATGCAGCACTAGGCTTTCTGTAAAATGTCTGGGTTTGTTTATATTTGTGTACATTAAATCAACTCTATTCACTGTAGAGTATTTGCTAATTTCACAAATTCTGAATTTGAAAATAAAATTGTATGAATGCCACCCATTTATGTTGAGAGTTCAACACATATCATTTGAATTCCAGGTCCAATGGATTTCCATAAGCCCACTTCAAGCAAAGAGTTATTATCTCAAAATTAAGAAAACATACAAATATAAGAATCTCATGTTTAAGAACTGACATACTTTTGTTCAGTCATCTCTAGTATTAATTTCTCCTGAGCTAATGTAACAAAGGAGTAAACTTTTTAGAAGTCTAGTATAACAGTTGTAGAAATGCATATTTAGAAACTGAAAAATGTGTGAAGGTGAATAAAAAAAAATGATATTAAATGTAAATATTGTGAAAATAACTGAAACCCTGATTAAAACTGGAACATGTGAAGAACGTGAAATATAAGCCTTGAATTTTGATATTACTTCAGCTTCTGGTGACTTATTAAAATATTTATCTTTTTAGGAGGTCAAGAAAAATAACTGGTATTTCACACAAAAAAAAAGACAATTTTGGTTTGGTGGTATATCCATGATGGCTTTGTGTACAGCCACTATTGTTTGTAGTCTTCATGCATCTAAAATTTTCCCCAAATACTGGGCTTGTTTCTGCTATTGCAGGAGAGATACATGCTTGTGCATGCTAGGGAGAAAATTCTCACTAACAGCAGAAATCCCAGAACCATTGCAAGCTGAAAACACACATCACGGAGACAGCCTCATCCCATTTCTGTCCCCCAGAATGCAGGTCCTCTTCACTTTCCCCTCTCACCCAGTTAATACCTGCAGCAGTGCAGATAATACATTCAAATTACTCAGGGTCAAATTGTTCTCTAGGGCCAGGCAGGTTTTTTGAGTAAAGAATAAAGGTGCATTGTGTAAAGAACAATAAGGGTAAAATGCAGGAGACAACTAGTTTCACTGCTCATAGTTACAGGTGCTGAGATGAGAGGTTATGCATTCCAGGTGAAACTTCAAACCAGGTTTCACTCCATGACATCAGATGAGCAATAGACTTGTACTAGGAGTCCTTGAGCCTTTAAAAGGAGGGTGATGCTGGTGATTTTCCCTTCCCTCCCTCCCTGGCTTTTCCTCCCTTCAGTAAAACAAGATTTGGCTTTCTCCTTCTTCATAACAAACATACCATACTCATGTCTCATTTTCCCCGCATCTCAATTTTACCCCTAGTTCACTTGGTTAAATGTTTTAGCATTTAGCATGTATAGCTGAGCCAGCAATATTTTGTCTCACATCATAAAAAGTAATAAGTGTGCATGCATCCAAACAAACTCAGCGCTTTCCTATGTTATTTTTGTAGAGCTCAGACATGTGATTTGTTAATCAATTATGAATTGATGTATCTAGGATTAAGATACTTTTCCAAACTCCTACCTTTAGGATGAACTACCCCTGCTTCACCATATAACAGCAGATTCTTCCTATTCTGTGATTCTCTTTTCCAGTAGGATTTGCACTTAAAACTCTTGTTGTTTTTCATTTAAAGCTTTTATTTTGGATAATGGTCTCAGAAAAAGATGTGCTGTCTGCAGATGTGACTCCCATTCTGGTCTCCACTCTTGTCTTATGACTCAGCTGTGAGATGTGGATCCCAAGCCCCTACCTTCCATTTCCTGTTTATAGGTTATCAAACAGTGAGGCACCGGTCATTTTACAAGAAAAATTAAGTGATAGCTATTTTGTGTAGTGAGGAAGAGGGATGATAAACTAAGAAAAAATTAAAATCACATGTTCTTGACTGTCCTTTAATACCATGTTAAAAATCACATTGATATATTTTTTGCCAAAATTTTGGATCTTGGATGCATCCTTGGTTTTTGTAACTAAATTAAAACAAGGTTTTACTTTAACTGAGTATCACCAAATTATTGCACTACATAAAACTTTTTTTTGTTATATCTGTAATTTTCCAGAATACAAACGCCTCTACTGTTAACCTTTTGTCCTTACCCCCCCAAATTAATATATGATGTATAATATTTTTATATATATTATATTATTCATTTTAGTGTGCATTTCAGAATTCAAAGTCTGAGAATGTGGGGTTGACAGATATATTTGTAATAACGGAATTACCTTTTTTTTCTTATGAATATCACTGATCATTTTTCCCTCAGAATAACATTTTCTTTTTCTGTAATGGCAGATCATGGATATATTTATGTAATACCTATACAATTAGAAGATAACCCCAAACCAATTGAACCAACTAGCCAAACTAAAATGCTAAAAAAAACCTCTTTCTGATACTCTTTCCAGAAAATACACTGATTTTCACGTTAATGAGATCAAAGTGTTCCTCTGTCTTCTTTGTGGGTGAAGTCCTTCCCACCATGGCACGACATGGCACATGGAAGACTTTTCTACATAATGCCATTAGAAGCAGGAAATGCTTTTTCCAGTTAATTTCCCGGGTACAGTCCATAACCTTTGATTTTTCAGACTCAATTTCTTATTCCAGGCAATATCTGTCATAATCAATAGCACAGGAAATTATCTCCAGATACCAAGATATGAAAAATGCTTGCATTATCTTCTCCTAATGCTCCATCTGACAATTTTGGGAGGAAATTGCAGACAGCACAGGGAAGTCAGGTATTGCATTCTAGGATTTTTTTTCTCTTTGACTGTTTTTTTCATTGCAGTAATGACCTATTTTTACACATTTCCAGTGAAACTTATTTTATTTGAAAAGTCTATTCTTGGTTTCTAGCTATGACTCAAATATTCTGGTGATGTTCTCATTAACATCCCTTTTTAGTGATGTTTCATGGACACAGTCCAGTAACATTGCTTCAAATAAAGGAACAGATGAAAGCTGATGAAAAGAGGTACATCATAACTGTGAATTTTGTCAGACCTCTTGTGACAAGTTATATAAAAGCTTTTTTCTTTGTGTCCTTTTCACTTGGAAGTATTTGGAACATTACTAAAAATAATACTAAACTGGAAAATTATTTCAAATTTTTATAACTACAGGGATAGAGGACAGAAGGGACTCCATTTTTAGATGATGGTCAGAGGAAAAAGATATTCCAAGTCGACATACAAAGTTTAAATGATTCACAATTCACCTAGAAGAATGGGATGGGATGTCTTGGCAATAGTATGGAACAGAAAAAACAAGTCGTCACTATCTTTGAAACATCTGCTCTGTATGAAAGGACCACAACATATCTTTTCAGTCTTTTCTTTCCTAGACTAAGCAAACTTAATATTTTAATCTGTCTCAGGAAACATGCTTCCAGATGGTTCTTCCCTTCTCAACTCTCCAGTCTGTAATTTTCTCAAAACAATGGTGCTTAAAACAAGCACATATTCCTGTATAGCAGAGAGGACTGTTGCTCATACCTGATGTAGAGCACTTTATTTCATATAACAGCACAGTATCACTCACTTGCCTTCAGCTGGTGACTTTTTAGGATGAGCAGCTCCATTCCATATTGTGTCTTGTTTTTCTGTACATTTCCCTGAACAGAAAAGCACTGGGCAGTAGCAAATTGTTTCTTTAATTTCAAACTACCTCTCTAGTTCATTTGTCATAGATTTTTAACATGTACTCTTTTCTCCCTCATTAACAGCTAATGACTTTTTGGGCAAGAACCAAACACAGGGTAGAACCAGCTTGAAATATCCTTCTAGTTTAACACAGTTTCATTTAATCATAGAAGTGGCCAGTCTATATTAATTCAGAGCTTTTTGTTTCAATAAATTCAACTAGCTGCACTTCTCATTGCTCTCATGTCTCCCTGATGTCTCTCTATTAGTTTGACATGATTCTGGCTCTGTCTTCTTGTGATTCTCCCTCACAAGGAAAGCACTGCATCATTCATGGTACGCAGGCCATGTTACTACAAAAAGCTTTCCTTTCACAAACATCATAGGTTCAATCACTCCTTTAAACAATGGCATGGTTAATATTGACATCAAGGGCTAACCACAGGAGAAGGACGTATAATAAAATATACATGTTTTCTACATTTATTTGTGTATTTTTTCATCTATATTGCCTAAGCCTAATATGCCATCTCAAATGCAGCTGCCTTAGGATAAGAAATTTGTTATTGCAGCTCACCTGGAGTTGTTTTCTCCACCAAAGATTATTACCCCATGAGGCTTCATGGCATTTCTTCATATGGATCCGCTCCTTAGGCTGGTTTTAGTGACCTAGTTTAGCAGAAACACCTTTTACACTCAAATCAGGCTGACAGAATGAGAGTAAATAGCAATTACACATGCACTTGTCCTGACATATCTGGAAGAGCAGTAAAGTCTGGCAGCCGAAACCAGACAGAAAGCCCATTTTTCACATCAGCTATTGCCAGAATGGGCATGACCTTAAGTCTTTCTTTTTTTTTTTTACTCATGGCAGTCCTATTGATTTTGGCAGTTGTACACAATAACCCAATAGTCGTTCCTCAGCTACAAATTACTTTGGGGTCTTGCACTTCTCTGTCCTATGTTGGACCAGCTCCCAGCTGCCTTTGAGAAAATTAAATTGTCCAAACACATCTGCCTAAAAAAATCTGTCTGGTGTTGAAAGAAGAACAGTGCAACAAGGCTGAAGACAAAAATAATTAAACCCCAATATTTTCTGTCCTTTTTTAATGTGAAAACTGTTGGGAAAATTTAAGAGGAAAAAGGAAGTGAATAATTGCTTACTTCTTCAGAAAGATGTCTAATTCCTGCTAACATTTCCACCACTGCATGTGTTTGCTCTTTCTGTCTGCTTTGGCAGCAAAAGACATAAGGATTTTTTATAATACATGGAATGCTTATGTCCTTTTGATCTTAGTTTACAAGAGTACATGCAGGAGAATGAGCTAAATATTTTCAAGCAGGTTTTTTGTCTGCATATGTGTGATAAAAGCACTTATGCTGTCAGAAAGAGCAAAATATAAAACCAATGGAAAGAACAAGCAGGGTCTTAAGAAATACATTACAAACTGCACATAAAGAATATATCACTTTCCAGAGGTCTCTGTTATCAGTGTACAAATAGAAGCAAAACTTCCAAAAGGCTTTTATCTCTTTGTGCACAGCATGAGGATACCTCCATTTCCTCCTGCTCTGTTTCTGGCAGAAGTGATCATTGCTGAGTTCCTGCCTTTTACCAGGAACTAGAACTTGTCAAGCACTGTTCGCTTTATTTTTTGAGCCCTTATCCATCTCGGTATAATTAAATTATATTACCTAGTGTGTGAAATGGCCAGTTTGCCATTAATTGTAAAGTCTCCTTTTTAAATTTGCTTTGTTGCATCTCTTTTCTTGACTGTTGACATTCCTCTCTGCTCTGTACTTTGTCTTCCTCCACCAACTCATCTGTTCTTGGTTGGAGCTTTTGTCCTCACTCAGTAATCTCATTTGTTCCTATTCCTGTGATGTGATGACATATGAAAACTGTCTCTTCTGCCAAGTCCATATATTAATTTTTTTAAACCACATTAGTGCTTTAATAAACTGGAAGTTACAGAACTCATGAAGTACAAGTTTATTTAACAGAATTTATTTTAATTTAATTAAATATTTAAAATATTTTTGTATCAGCTCAGTGGAATAAGATTTGTCAATAGTATTAAAAATGTTTTTTCCATGCATTCCCTGTAATTTAATAATTAATTAACATGCAAGAGAAAATACATACAGAGATCTCAGCACTAGTTTTCACTAAGGAGTTCCTGTCTCTCATCTCTGGCATCTTGCTGTTGTTTCAGATCTTTTGCTCTGCTGTGCCAACACAACCACATCAATGAGCTGATTTAGTTAAAAAAATATTCCACATTTTGCCTCAGAATACTTCTAAAGATCAATCAGTTTCTGGGACAATATTACTGCGTAAACTGACACATCCTGCAGAGCTGAGTATCCAGACAAAGCATAGATGTCTGGTTTCTTTACACTGTGAGACTTCTATTCCTCTTTTATGGGAATACACGTGAAAGAATATTTTGGAATAGTTCCTGACTTGAGATTGCACATGACAGCAGTGCAGCTTCTTGGTTGTCCATGCTATGGGATGTCTGATCCCAACTCTCTTTTTGAGGCACAGTGATAGTATTCCTAACTATTTTTTTACAAGCAATATGGGTATGTATTGTAGGGTTACTAGATCTCAAGAAGAAAAGATCTTTGCTCTCCAAAGCCCTTAAAATCCTCTGGACAGAAATGCCATTATATTGGTAAAGTACGGGTGGTGTTTGCATTTCACCAATCACTCTTTATTTCACACTATGATACAACTGTTTGACGGAGGCAGATGCACATGAGGAACAAGGTGGCCACCATCCTGTGCACTCCAGTGACCATCCAGTCACTGACCTATCTAAGATATGGAAATGAAAACAAAAATGAAAATCACAGGAACAACTTGGATCCAAAGCAATTTAGTTTAGTTAGATCCTCCTAATTTAGTTTAGTTAGCAAAAAATGTCTGTTCTGTACCCTGACATTATTATATCCAGCTGTGTCTAAATACAGAAATCGGTTGCCAAACAAAGAGAATATTTTCTAACATAGTCCCATCAGAAGAGGAAAGTGAGTTTAGCAGAGAGTCAGTATGACTCAAGGTAATGTATAAGGTTATACTGTTAAAAAGAATGCACTAGTTGCATTTTTAATATTTCTATCCTTACTACAAATACTTGTAAAATAGGTAGTGTAGGTGTACTTTTTTAAACTGAAAATAATTGCAAAACCATCTTTCTTAGAAATAAAAGTTATCTGGAAGGTTGTGATGTCAACTTCTCACTATTATGTTCTTTCACACCCTTCAGTGGAAACACAATTGTGCTGTAAAACATTAATGCAACTAGTCTTTGCTGTGTACAAAGCTGCATTTTTTCCCATGTTGCAAGTTGTTTGGAGTGGCAGGCTGCAGAAAAGAAGTATTGTTTCTCCTTAAACATTCATGACAAGAAGTTTAATCTTTATGGAACAAAAAAGAGTGAGGGCCAGTCTTTTTCACCTTATCATCTCATTAATAATATAAAAATGACATCTACCTGCCTGCCTTTACTTTCTGCTGTGAAGTGGAAGCTGTTCAGATAGCAACAGCAGCAAAGTGTTATTATTATGTATGTGTGTATATATATATATATATATATATATATATATATATATATATGTATACATGTACTTCAATTTTTGTGCGCACTTTTGTGACCTTGGGTTCTTGTATCTCCAGAGAAGTTGGTGTAACTTACAAGGGGGAAAAAATCACATTTCCATCTATTTTTCTAGCATCAGATTGGCTCATCTTGGGTTTTCATGCTGTAGTATTTTCACCTCAAAACCATGCTGATTTTTATACATAACAGAAGTATATGAAGGTAAGGTCACAGAACACAAAAAGAGACACAAGATGCATCATGATACATTTAGAAATCTTTTCGGTATATTCCAAAGGAGTACAGATTCCTTAAAATAAGAAGATAATTCAAGATTGCTTGAAAAACAGGGGAAGAGTTTGCAAGTCTGAATAATCTAGGCAGGGTATATTTGCACAGGCGTTTCATCTTTTCAGCCTGTAGGTGGGACTGTGTTTTCAGCAAACCCATCTGTGAAAAAAAAAATCTGAATTGGCATCAGGCAGCTCAGGCTGTTGCTAATGCTGGCTGGAGTGAGTCAAGTGATTCTTGACTTGTATTTGAGTTATTTCTGGGGAGAAAATGGCCTGTGTCCGAAATTACTTTAGTCCTTAATGGGCTATTCTGAAATATCTGTTCTCACTGCAGTCAGTGGGCATTCTGCCTGCTACAGATCTGCAACTGCAGATTTGTTCCTATTAAAAAGCATTTATGTAGCTGAAAAAAAAAGTCTGTGGAGAAATGTTGAATTTATAGCTATGGAAAATACTGTAAGTGAACTGATGATGGTGTAGTAAGTGACATTTTGAATTGGGATTAACAAGTAAATTCTCATGCATAACTTCTTGGCTCAGAAAAAATAAGTCCATCACAGGCTGGGCTTCTTTTTTACAAAAACACTTAGGGTAAAAGGGAAGAGAAATGTTTATAGCACTCTAGGCCCACAGAGACACTGACTCCCATAACAGTGAATGCAGTTACTCAGGTGAGTAAGAACCACATACTATGGGCCAAATGTTATTATGAAAACACTGAAATTGGACTCTGACGCTACTACTGCTACACAGTACTGGCTAGATGCCTTGTGTTTCTTGTTTTGCCTCATGCTGGCCCTATTTCTCCCACTCTTATTCATTCCCAACAGTACTTTACCTCACAAGGAGCAACCCGTGTAAAGGGGCAGCAGCCCTGTCATTTATGGGGTTACTATCTCTTCTGTTGTGTTTACACAGCTTACGTTGAAATAAGACAGCTAGGAGAGTATAGAGCTCACATGTAAAATATATTCTGCTGAAGGAAGAAGGAAATCATGAGAGATCCTACCAGATTTTGGTGCTGTAAACACATGTGTTGGGTCACCATAAAGTAATCACTACAAAGGTCAGCATTTCAAAATGTGTCTTAAGAAAATGTTTTTGCTAGCTTTGTGGTAAAGATGGCTGGTGTGTTGTATATTGTAACATTCTGCTTAATCTCCTCTATGTTATACAGAGTCATTTCCAACAAAAAATGCCTGACATAACTTACAGCACAGGAACACACAAAACCAGCTTCACCAGGGTGGCTGTTTATGTAATCTTCAAGAACACTCTGAAGTTTGATTCAGTAATCAAATAAAACTATGAGAGGCATATTTCTGAGACACTACCCATCTTTAAATTTCTGAGCTTCTTTATTTTTCCGAACCTTGTTAGATAAATGTTGATGATTATTTCTGTACATCATGTTATCTGCTGTTTTCATTCCACTTCTTGGTTGTAATTGCACAAGTGCTTTGAGCTTTCTTTTTTTTTAATTGAGGCATCTTAAAGGTGAGCAGATGGTCACCACAGGAGTGCAGGTTTCCCATTCACAGCCTGCACAGCAAAGGCAAAAACAAAAGTTAAGTTTACACATACTGCCCTGACAACGACCTCTGTGCTGAACTAAACAAACCCCTTCTGTAAAGCCAGGAGCATTTCTCTCCCCTTTCGAACACAAACCTGGCACTCTCTAGAAACCATAAAAAATCAAACTGGGCAGCCCTGCGCTGGCTTTCAGGATGTGTGCTGCTGCAGGACACAAAATGCTCCAGGGTGCCATCCTTTAGGAGTTGCAGTCAAAAAGCATCAGGTGTTCCAAAGCCTCTTTCACAAAACAAACATCTTGCATATTTCACATCACTTTATGCCAGAAAAGGCTAACAAAATCTGAAGCATAGCAGTTTAAGGCCAGTGAGTAGAATTGAACGGGGATGATCTTAAGTCTAGGAAATGTTGTCGCAGTAGTTCCAAAGGTTCTTTTTTTCCCCAGTAAAATAATCTCAGACCTCTCCTTCACTGGGGTTAACCTCTGTTGCTTGGGGTGTGACACTGTGTCTCTCAAGGTAGTGGGAAATGACAAAGCCCGGCATCCAGACCTTCTTGTCACGGGGGACTCAGAAAGATTCCAAAGGGATACAGGTAGGGGCCACAGATCCACTGTCAGCTTCCCCGCAGGCTTATGCTGTGCATGGGCACCTTTCCGGGTTGAGGAGACGGGAGCAGGACGGCCCTGCTTGTGCTCTGCCACAGCGCCCGCCCGGCTGCTGCCTGCATCCCCTGGTGCTGATGCTGCAAGCCCTCCTTCCCGAAATCCCACAGCCCTGCCGAGCACTGAATCCCTGAGCCCTCGGGGTGCCTCAAAAGCCTTTCTTATGCAGCAGAGGACAGCTTAAGCAGGCTGGAACAACCCACAAAAAGTATTTAAGGAAAAAATGGAAGTGCAATTGCTCGCACGGGCCCGATTGCGGGGACTCGCTTGGCAAGGGAGGGCAGCAGCCGAGCGGGAAGGTAGGCGAAACACACACATCAGTGTTCGATGTACGCGATAAGGACACCTCCCGCGGGCCCGCGGAGGTGTGCGGGGCGGGGGGGCCGCAGGGAGGGGGCGGGCGGGAGGGAGAGGGCCGGCTCCTCCCTGCGCACAAACCCGGCCGCGCCGGGCCGGGCGTGCGGAGACGCCGCCGCCGCTCCCGCGCTACTTAAGCGGGGAGGGCGCAGCCCGGCAGCCCCGCGGGGGGATCCGGCGTGGGGGGGAAAGTGATCATAGTAGTAGTCGTTCATCTATAAGAGAACGAGAAAAGCAGAGCCGAGATGCTCCGTCCGTCCGCCAGCGGGGTGGGGAGGGGCAGGTTGTGAATCCGCCAAACACCTGAGAAATAAAGCACGACCGAACAATTTCGAGGCGGGCGGGGAAGGGGGGGACGAAAAGTTTGCCGGAGCTCGGGCGTCTCCGGGGGGGCGGGCGCGATGCCGCCCTGGCTGCTCGGCAGCCTCTGCTGCGTGCTGGCGGCGCGGGCGGCGCTGGGCAGCGGCCCCGCGGGCGAGGAGGAGGAGGAGAAGCTGATACGGGTGCTGGTGCTGCTACCGCAGGACGACGCCTACCTCTTCTCGCTGGGGCGGGTGCGGCCGGCCATCGAGTACGCGGTGCGGAGCCTGCGGGAGAGCGGCGCGGGTCTGCCGCCCGGCTACGCCTTCCAGCTCACCTACGAGGACTCGGCGTGCGGCAACCGCGCCCTGTTCAGCCTGGTGGACATGGTGGCCCTGCAGCGCCGCCGCCCCGACCTGCTGCTGGGGCCCGTGTGCGAGTACGCGGCGGCGCCGGTGGCGCGGCTGGCCGCGCACTGGGACGTGCCGATGCTGTCGGCGGGCGCGCTGGCCGCCGGCTTCGGCGCCAAGGGCGGCGAGTACTCGCACCTCACCCGCGTCGCGCCCGCCTACGCCAAGATGGGAGAGATGCTGCTGGCCCTTTTCCGCCACCACCAGTGGAACCGGGCCACGCTCCTCTACAGCGACAGCAACCCCGAGCGCAGCTGCTACTTCGCCATGGAGGGCGTCCATGTGGTCTTCCAGGAGGAGGCTTTCCACATGGCCGTGCACAGCTTCGACGAGACCAGCCGGCACCTCGACATCGACGACGTCGTCCGCGCCCTCCAGACGGGAGAGAGGGGTGAGTGGCGGCGGAGTGCCGGGCAGGGCTCCTCTGTGGCGGCCGGGGCGGTGGGAATCCCGCGGAGGGAAGGACCTGCGGACGGGGAAGAGTCACGGCTCGTCCCCGCCCGTGGGGAAACTCACTGCAGTGCTGCGACGGCAGCCCCGGGCCAGGCATACTCCGACGGATGGGAACAGCAGCCCTGAGTGAAAGCTCTGCCCACAGAGCTAGAGTTTGCCTCCCCACGGTGTAGAGAGCGGTTTGCCCTCGGGGACCACCTTTGGAGGGCTTTGTGGCATGGTAAGAAAACATCTTGCTGCTGGCAGTCTGGTTTACCCAAATTATCCACGTCTGCAGGGCAGCAAATCTGTTGCTTACTCTCTGAGATTTTTGCAGTGATACTATATAAGTTCAGGGACTAAACAAAGATGTTTTCCTCTCACCCCACTGTGCCTTGCAGCGGGAGATCTTTTCATGACTTCTGCCACTGGGAACCTCGTCGAGTAACTCAAATAACAGATTCATTTAGGGGAAATGGCAATTTCAGGGGATGTGTGCACGTGAAACACCTGAGTGCATGCCATGATATTGTCACCAAGTGATAGGAAGACACTGTGGAGATAAATGGCTTGTAAACATCTGAGACAGTCATGTCTGGGCTGGATGAACTGACTTTGCATCATGGAACAGCAAAGCAAAGTGCTTTGGAACATGCAGTTTTGTAGTTAGATGTTCTTTAAAGTGAGATCTTGCCTAGCAGTGTGTGGCTATATGAGCTTATCAGAAACACTTTTTCTGTTTGAGGGTTTTGCATGACTTACTGCAGAAGCCATAGGCTTCCTCAGTAAGTCATGCAAAAAGAAAATACGTAATCCAGAAGTGAACTGTAGGGTGAAGTTAAAGTTCTTAGGTATTTTCCAAGAAAGCCATGGATGTACAAAGCTCTTTGTACAATTCTTACATATCTTGTTGTAGAGTATTAAAATAGCACCAGAATTGGACAGATAAATATTATGCTGTGTGTGGCAGGCAGAACTGGTATTGTGGTGCTGTAGGCTGTGGATGGAGCAGCCTTGCACTGCTGATGTTACACTGCTGTGAAATAATTAACATGCCGGACTGTGTGAGATAACTGAGGTCTGACAGCATAGGGCTTTTAATTCCCTATTCACTGAAGTACATGCTTTAAATAGAGCTTTCCTTTTAAGTATCATTTGGGGAAATATAATGGATGGAGAGAAATAAATGTGTTAGTACTGGAGGAAACCACAGTGCGGGGAAAGATGCTTGTCAAATGTGTGTGTGGCTTTCCTGATGCTGAGAGCATTACAGCATGCTTACATCAGGAAAAGACAAGTGTTCACCCCAGCCCCACTCTTCACACCATGCTGACAGTCAGGGAGGAGAGCTTGCTTTCAGCCTGATCTGAATTGCTTTGTTGAGCTGAGACATTTGATCTTTCACAATTCTTCAACTTGCAACTGACTGAACAGAAGCAGCCCTCTTCTTTCTCCCCATTGTGGGGTCCCTCCTTCCATCTCACCTCTGTATTTGTTCTCTGACTCCTGCCACTCAAGTGGGGCCCTCCACCTTCCACTTGTGCCTTTTTGACTTTAAAGACTGACTGCAGGACTCACCTGGCAGATTCCTTTGGCCCTGCTGCTCATGGCATGTTTCAGGTTACCACAATATTTTAAGAGTTCTACACCACGTGGAGGGTGCACCAGATGAGGTCTGAAGATCAGTAGAAGTCTTTATTTGTTCTCAGGACTCACTGGAGATCCCCCCAGCAGGACAGCAGGACTTGTGGGCAGCAGCACACTGTCCAGAGCACTTTCTAGAAATATTTTTGCTTGGTTGGTTTCCAGTTTTTAATGAGTCCTGTGTCACACCTGCTGTGACCTCACTTTCTCTAGCTTTCAAAAACTGCTGCCGTTTGGTTCCCACCTGACTGGTCAGCCTTCACTGAGCTCCCTGACTAGGAGTAGGCTTTTGAGCAGATACAGGATTCTTCCTTGAGACTCTCCCAGAGCTGGGAAGAAACTGCCCCACCAGCTGTCCTGTGGGAAGCAGGACAGAGGTTGGCCCCAGAGGTTAGGTTGCTGCTGGCTGGGGGTTTTCACTGGCCTCTCTGATGCCTGAGAGGAAGAGGCACACTCAGCCATTCACCCCTGTGTGCCAGGGACTGCGAGTTCAGTCCCTGAGCCATGTGAAATGGCTGAAGTCTTGGAGCCACAAAAATTAATGATGAAAATGTGATCATTAAAATCAAGTACTTGTCTACAATTAGTTTTATTAGTAGTTCAGGCTTCCTTATAGGCTCAGGTAAGCCTGCTGCAGAGTCCATGTTGAAGGCTCAGGTTTACTGTACGGTTCATATATGTGGGCCTATGCTTTATGTATAAGCACACAGTCCAAGGGATGTGTGTAGCAAAGGGAATGCTTATTCCTTTAAACTGGAATGAAACTCCAAAGTGTTTTCAGGATGAATCAATAATCCTAGTCAATAAATTCAGCATGTTAGTATTAGAATTACTGTGTTCTGTGTGTATTATGGCGGAGAGAGAACATTTTGTATGGGTGTGCACATACACATTTGGTACAATGGTAAGGTACAGATGCAGATTAAATATATAATTTATATTTTTTTTGAAAGATTGTGAGAAACATATCCATAGATTATTTGCTTCAGAATCTTGAAATATGTCCTGCTGGGTTAGAAACCTCTTCCAAACAGTTAATATTACTTCTCTTACATTCCTTTAGAGGCTTACACAATACGATTTAATGTATGTTAAAGTAGTTCCCCACACACTCTTTTTCTTTTATTCCTTTTGCTCAATGTCTTTTATTGGTGTTGTGGGAATCCCTTTGATTCCATCTATGGATTACACTTTTATGATAGAAGTGCATTACAAAGGCAGAGTCAAGGAAGAATTGGGAGGGCAGAGAGGAAATATTTCAAAAGGAAATCTCTCACCTATACTGAAATTAAGAACAGTGAGACAAATTAATTCCTGATGTGCATCTGGAAAATATTTGGTCCAAATTTTATTGTAAGAAATTTTTTTTCTTGTTCATTTTCCTTCATGATAATATACTTCACAATGGTCATGAAATATGTCTTGCTCTGTTGCACTGGAAATTATTATATTACTCTGCCATAATCTGTAGGACAGAGCTATGCATGGTATAATTCTCCTGAAGTGTGGGGCTGTACTGAATATGACTCACCCCAGTGGCACATCTGGAGGTTTATGCCTGTGATGGCATCCAACCAGAAAGGCGATGGGAGAAGATTCATTGTGTGCGAAAAGATTTGGCCTGTTTGGCATTTTCATTTCTTATAATAGAAAACACTTCCACCCAGAAGAGCCAAATGTGGTTTTGATTCATTTTTATTGTTGGGTTGAAAATATTTGCGTACATTATTGTAGCTTTTGAGTCCTGCCATGCGTGACGGCGTTCTTGGAAACATGCGTGCAGTTGATTTTGAATCACCGTTCTGACAGGATCTCTTATGCCTCTGCTGTAGGATACAGTCCTGAAGCACACACTGATAAAATACTTTGCTTCTCCCTCTGATATCAGGATATTCATACCTGTAGCCTTGTAAACCAATGTAAAAGCTTGTAGTATAATTTGCTGTATATGGGAGTTCACTTTCCAATGTTGAAGACCTCACCGGTTGGGATTGTCCTTTCATTTTGCAGAAGGAAGGAATAGCAAGGGCAGTAGTCCTCCTGCCCATCAGCTCTGGGAAGAGACCTAGCAACCACAGTCATCACAGTGGGGGCCATAGTGCCCACACAGGGCACACCTGTGGGTCTCATCATAGCAGCAGAGCCTCTGCTTAGCTATTGGCCCATGATGAGTGGGGCTCTGCGGTGTTTGTACCTGCTTTTAATCTTCATGATTATAAAATGATCCTTGGTTTTTCCATTTATTAACATTAGGCATCCCATCATGTGTTGTTGCCTAGGCTTATTGCATGGTCTCTGGAGAGGAAGTCATGTTCTGGAAAGATTCATACCACTGTCCCTGCTGCATAAGTGCTGCTCTCCTGTAAGTGCAGAGAGGCAGCAAAATCTAGGACAGGCACCTAAATATTAGGTAGCTGAGGTGTCGGTAAGTACAGTCTACATCAAACTGTTTAATAGAATGGAAATTGAAATAGTAAGGTCATGGTATCTCCATCTTTGTCTTATGTCTGCTTAGAAATAACAACAGAAGCTTGTGATTGTAGTCTGAGTCTACAAATGCATGTAGCTAAAGAAATTTGGAGCCAGAACTTATGACATTCTGCAGGGATAAAAACCCAGATTACACAGAGGCTCTAATTAGCTTCAGAGGAGACAAGGAAAGTGGAAGCCTTTCTGTGTTCACTACCTGTCTTGTCAGCTCTTTGGGAAAACAGCTTTGTTTTCATGTTTGTTGCAAAACTGTGAGGACAGCTGGGGTCACTGGCTCTGGCAGCATTCTTGCTTCACAGGCTATTCTCTAAAGTTCTTGAGCTGCTTCTTATCTATATTATTCATTTTCTTCCAGTTGTAATCATGTGTGCCAGCAGCGACACTATCAGGAACATCATGTTGGCTGCTCATCGGCAAGGAATGACCAACGGGGACTATGCTTTCTTCAATATTGAACTCTTCAACAGTTCATCATATGGTAATGTTTTTCTTGCCCGAGTGTGTTGCAAAGTCTTTTGTAAGCTTGGTAGTATTTTTAGATTTGTTAGCCTCAAAACATGCAGTACTGACTCTCCCTGTTGTTGCAGTTATCTTCCACTTGGACTATGATTTTGCAGGAAATAAAACAAACCTTGTGTATAGTTGCTACTGGGTGGGTAACAAGATGCTAAATATGCTACAGCAATTACTTTTTGGGGAAGTAGCACCAGAGACATTGGTTATGGTATGGGTACCCCATTCTGGAGTGTGTGTGCTCAGATATAGGTGATATAGGTGATTTGCTCCATCCCCAGCCTTGTGACTACCTCTTAGGGTGGGGGCATTCCTGGCAGCCTGGTGACCTGAGTAGATGGCTGCAAGGGGTAATTACCAACCATTGTGGGCACCTGCAAGGTTTGGGTCTCCAGAAATCACCTCTGTGCTGGGACATCTACACATTTAATTTATTTATCTTTGGATCACAGGCTCTGTCTGCAAAAATATTCAGCCATGCTATGATAAAGGAAAAGCACTGGATGGGACAGAGGCAGTCCAAATTTTCTAGAGCAGAGTGAATAAAAGTGGCTGTTTACACCCATAAGTAAAAGAAGTCATTTTTGTCAAACTATAGCATAACTTCAAAATGTAAATGAAATGTATTTTCTTTTTGAAATATACCTGTATGCCAAAATATAATTGTAACTGTATGTTACATCAATGCATGGCAGGGACTATATCTGCTGTCAGCTGGTGCAGCTGTCTCACCTAAATTCAAAGTAATATTGGAACTATGTGTTTGCTGAGATCATATATCAGATGGCTGAAGCCAAAGCAGGCTTTGTTGAAGTATAACGTGGCTCTTAAAAGGAGCAGATTCTTTTGCAAATGTAGAGAAAATAATTTCCTCTGTGCAGACTGCTTTAACTAATCCACTACAATAACAAATTCATTTCAAGTTAAAAACCAAGCAGAAGTTGAGAAAAAAGGCAAAGTGTTGGGGTTTACTTTCTTAAAGCTGCAAAGGCTGACTAACAGAAACAACTGGATTTTAAAAAGGTTATTTTTTAAAAATTAATCTGTTAACTGGAATTTATTTTGCATAAGCTTTCTGTTACTCATCTACTACTGCTGAAATTATTTCACAGTTAACAGGACTGTGTGTCACACTGTATAATGAAGGTATGTAACTGTATAAATTCAGAGCTCTAGATATGTACAGATACCGCTACATATATCAAGATTAGCTAAAGAATGCCAAATTTTGCCAGGTAAGAAGGAAATCACTCAAATAGTTAAAACATGAAGTTGTAGATCATGATCAAAGCCAATGTAGGAGCCTCATTACCATCCTCCTTTGCATCACAGGTAGTCCAGTCTTCTTGTAGCTTTTATGAGGGATTAATGAAAAATGTCTGGTTTCTGATGCAGTGTAGTTAGAATGTGGCATTTCCTGACATTTGTTTTAAACCAATTTTTATGCTTGTGGATGTGTTTCCTATGTAGTGTGAAATGACTGTGCATCAGAAATTGACTTTTGTGCAGATGGTCATTACATGTGAAAAGCAAACACAAGGATAAAGAAATTCCCCCAAAAATCCTTGTTACCAGTGCCTGGAGATATTAAGTTTTGTATTTCATAAAACCTAAGAGTGGGTGTGATTGGGCAATTGGCACTGTCTTTGTGTTCAGATGACTTTATTGCAGTTTGTTCTTGCCCTCTGTTCTGAATATTTCTAATTTTTCAGAAAACCAGGCTTATTAAATGCCAAGACATGCAATAATTGTACACAAGTATTGTAACAAGACAATCTCCCACAAAATAATCCATGAAGGAATTTAGATATGTAAATTATTCTAGGAACGCTGTTATGCAAGTGAACCTTCCCCAGTCCCGGTGTTGGGATTTAAAGAGGAAACATGTATGGTGTCTAGGACAGAAAGTTACATTCTACTAGCACTACCATATTTTTTTTTATTTCTTTTTTTATGTCTGTAATTTCATGCATTCTAGCTATTTCCATTTGCAAATGCAAAGCTATAGCAAAGCCCTCTGCGCTGTAGTCTCTGCTGTACTCCTTGATCCAGCTCCTCCAAAATGCAGGTGCCCAGCTGGGGCAGAAGCTGTTCAGCTTTGTGGCTTCTGCAAGGCTTGTACTCTCTTTTGGGGAAGGTAGTAAGATGTGCTTGCTTACAACTGCCAGATGTGCATTTCCTTCTCCTTGAAAGCAAAGGAAGAGGTCAGGTGCAGGCATTGCAGGAAAGAATGGCCAAACCAGACAGTGGGATGTTAGTTGCTACCCAGTATCTCCATTGGGTGTGATGAATATGGTTCTGTGTAAGTGATTTTGACCTTGTATTGAGAAATAAATCCCTCAACCAAGGCACATATAATTGAGCTCCTTCCTAAAAAGAAAAAAAAAAAAAATCACTTTTAACAAATAGCAAGGTTTTTGCTGTGTGTAAAGATTGTAGTCCTAGGTGATCTGGGATGTGGTAAATAAGGCTTTCCTAGGGTGGACAAGAGAAGTGGAAAAGGTGCTCCAGTGTCTCCTGCCTTGTGTGGGGACTGACAGGAGATGCCCTGGACCCACAACTGCAGGAGAAAGGGCTTATCCCCCAGAGAAGTGCAGGACCTTTACTCCTTCCCTTGTGCTCTCTGAGGAAGCAGAGCAGATCTAGCCAGTTGTGTCCCAGCAGCAGTGCTGGGAGGACAAAATTCAAGCTCTATTTACCTGCTTCAGGTCCAAGAATTTGTTCCTGCAGCTGTGTGATGCAGCTGGGGAGCACTGTGCAGGGAAAAAAAACCAACCAAACCAACCCCCATGGATTTTTTTTTACCTGTACCTCATCTCCCTTAACATCTCTGCAACTTGCTTCTCTTTGTCCAATGATACTGTGGTCCTCAACCCAATCAAAATAACCACATTCTCTCTGATTTCAGGTTCCTATGTGCCTCCAAGTCACCTTGGGAATTTAGCATTAGTTTTGTTTCAGCTCATTTAACCATAATGGGGTTTGTTGTTGTTGTTCAAAAAATAAAGTCTGTCTAGCTTTTAATTACTTTTAAACATTTAAAGGCTCACTGCTTAGGGCTACCACTGTTCCCTCTAGCCTTTTTTAGTTATCATTTACATCAAATAGCACAAAACCCACTCCAGCACAACATGAACCTTTCCACTGACCTCCTGAGGTTTTGGATCAGGATCTCGGGTCCTGCTAAGGCCAGGTGTGTTTGTAAGAAAGACTTCTTTCCTAATAAACAACCAATCAGCTATCCTGCTTTTTAAAAATGTGGTTTCTTTACTGGTGGTCTGAGTTAAATTGTTCCCTTGCTGTGACACAAAATACATGTAAATACAGCGTAGGCGCAGGATTCCATTTTATTTTTATGTATTCCTTTCCCATTAAAAGCAGGGCTGGTCTGGCAGCCATGGCTCACATGGTTTTTCCTTGACCACAGTAGGAGAGCTGCACCATCTGCCTCCCATTCAGGGTGTTGTCTGTGCTCTTGACTTTACTGGTGCTTTTCTGATTGTCCAAGAGGAGTGATGTGTAACAAAAACTTTGCACATGAATTCTCCCTCAGTTCTTCTAACTTAAATATCTCTGCATTTGAGATCTGACATTTGTGTTTGGCTCCAAGATCACACTTAGGATTTATTCCACCCTTTTAACATAAGCAAACACAGTGTGGAAATAATGTTGTCCTTTGGTTTGCACATTTACTTTCTTAGTTATTCCTCACTGCCTGGTTTCCTGCACACTTTGAAGAGGGCCATTGATCAGCAAAGGGGACTTCTCCATTGATCAGCAAAGGGGACTTCTGGGTGCAAAAAGGAATCCCAAAATGGTACTTAGTTTGGAAATATGCTTGTTTCCCTCTTTAGGAAATGGCTCTTGGAGAAGAGGAGACAAACATGACCTTGAAGCCAAGAAAGCATACTCATACCTCCAGACTGTCACTCTGCTGAGGACTGTGAAGCCTGAGTTTGAGAAGTTTTCTCTGGAGGTGAAAAGTTCTGTTCAGAAGCAAGGTCTTCATGAAGATGACTATGTAAGTACTTGATGACAGTCTTCAGATCATAGCATCTTCAAAAGCATGCTTCTAGTTAAAGAGAAGTGCCAGTGAAACCTTATCAGGACACAATCACCTAGGCTCAGTTGCAAAAGTATGCTGCTGCACGTATAATTTTTCTTTTTGGTGGATACTGCAAACTACAAGCATAGGCTTGATGCACTATATCTGTGCACCACCATCCATGACCAATTGTCCTGTGCTTATCTCCTAGTTCATCAGTAGAAGGGTTGGGCAAAGGCAGGTGTCTCTCAATCCACCAGCGATAAGTCTTCTTAACAGGGGAAGAAGTACAGCCTTCTTTTTTGTTTTCTCCCAATAATGAAATGTTTTTTTTAGAATCCAGTCTCAGAAAGTTACACTATCTGTATTGCATACCAGGAGGTAATTCCTCATGTGAGTGACAAAAGTGGTATTATTTCTCAAAAAGAATATTTAAGTAGTTGCTGTTTTTATTTGGAACTGTCTGGAATATCAACAGGCCTTGGAAGTTTCTTTAAGCCTTGGGGAATGCCAGTGTCTTCCAGAAGTGGACATGGGGAACTATACCTTTTTTTAGCCTCTCAAAATGTAAGATAAAAATGCCTTTGAAAATTGCTTTTGAGCTAGTGCTAAGCTATTGCTAAGCTAGTTCATTAGGTATTTTGATAGAAAAGTCATCTGTGGAAGCAAAAATGTATGGCATGTACCTGCAGGGATTTCTGCATGCTGATACAAGTACTTCCCAGGTAGCCTGCTCCATGGTGCAATGTCAGCTTTCCAAATATAAAGAAAAGAGGCTTGAAGAGAAATTGGTCAGTCCTTAGCTGCAGGAAATGAGAGCCTGAGACTCAAGAAAGCAACCCAAACCCTTCATTTTCCTGCTTTCACATAGGCTTTCATCTCATCCCTTTGCTTTAAGCATTGTGTCCATCTTTAGTTCATCAGCTTGTGCTTGAATGTTATATTAAAGTATGAATAACCTTTCCTGGCAGTTTATTGTATAATTTTGGCTACCTTTAGAAAATCTGTGCTTCTTAGAACTTGAATGTATTTAACTGAAATATTTTACCTGAAGTGTTACATTTGAATCACAACAGTGGTTTATATTATTCCTGTGATACTTTCAAAGTCTAGTCTTAGCCTTTTTTTTTGGCATGTTTTGTCTTGGGTTAGTGGAGAAACCCCACTTCACAGTTTCAATGTGCAGCTCTCTGAAGAATCTGCTAAATGAGTTCTGAAGAAGGCCATGGGACTTTAATTTATGCTGGTGCTCCTTTTTCTGTCCATGTGTCCTTTTGCAGATTTCACTTAGCAGACTTTGTCCTTTGGAAACCTGCTATGTGTCTTTGGTTGTGGTTGGTGAGAAACATGCTTTTAAATGCTTAAGATCCATTCATCTGCAGTATTGTGGCTTTTTTTTAGTCTGGGCAGTGTGACATCTCCCCAGATAAGAAAAGCTGAGAGTTCAGGCTACTGTCTGTGGGCAGTTTGGAGGTAAGCAAGAGGATGCTTTTCTGTTCATTAGGGTGGGGACCCACTGCAAACCCTGGGCAGTGCTGATTTGGGCTGGGTAATTCAACCAGTTCTTGTCAGCCAGAATTGGATCTAGGGGAGAGCAAATTCCCCTGTGACAGCATGGGGGAGATTTTGCAGGCTAATGTGTTTGCTGGGGAGATTCCCTTACAACTGCACACCCACTGCCAGAAGTCCTCTGTTGTCATTCCTCACTGCATGGCTGCTGTGTGTGCTGTCCAGTGCCCCTGGCTGTCCTGGATGAGCAACAGGGGCTGGCTCCCTATCATCTCATCCTTGACACCTTCTTCTGCCTGGCTCTAAGGGCTGCCTCTCCCTGTGTCCCATTTCTACCTGTGATCCAAGGTCCTTCACCTTATTCCAAGAATTCCTTCACACAAAACCTTGAGCCTTGCTAGGGCCAGGCAAGTTGCATAGGCCTCTTCCTGTTGCTGCTGCTTCTCCTAGTCCTCTTCCTGTTCTTCCTTTCCTGCTTGGCTTTCTTCTTGCTTTACAATCTTTCTTGCAGGGACACAGAGAACATCTTGTGACCTGTGTACACGTACCACTGATTCCTGCCATCTGAAAGATCAGCCCTGAGCTCACAGGCAGCCATCAGGATCTGGAGCTCTCTGTAGGGGAGCTTTGGTTCGTGGCTATGAGGGAAGGAGGCTTGGTTTCAAATGCAGAGTATCCTGGTATTAGATGGATGCTTAACTAAAGTATACCTCAGCAGAGCCTCCCCTACTGCTTTTTTACAGCCTTCTAACAATGGTAAAATTAAATGTCTCTGAGAGTTAGTTTCTGGTTGATTATAGAAAAAAAAAAGTCATAGCTGTGTTCCTTAATTAACAGTGTGTGAACTTTAACTTTATGGTTTGCTTTGCATTGTTTGTGATGAATTATACATTTCTCCACTTTGGACAGTGGAAAAGAGATGCATCATATTCCCTTAACTGATTGTCCTGCTGCCCTGTTCAGAGGAGAAACATTTTGGGGCAGCCTTCAGGATTAAGGAAAAAAAAATTCTGAAAACCCAATGGGGAAAAAATAAAAAGTCAGACTGAAGGCCAATTCCTTCCCCTCTGAAAAGTTTCTGGGTAGTGGGTACACATTAAGTGTGCTTTCTTTGGCAACATGGGAAAAAAGTGTCCTCGGTACACATTAGGCAAAGTTGTGTCCTCCAGGGGAAGATGGGGAAGGGAAAGTCCTTGAGCTGAGTGGGTGGGAAGCAGCAGAGAAAGATTTTGCTGGATTCTGCTCCTGAAGACAAAAACTATGTAGGAAGAGAATCAGTAGTACAGCCCATCTCATGTCATATCCCTGGGTGTTGAAATATAGTCCTCATTATTTTCTGCAAGCTGTGTCCCTAGAGGAGACACTTAGGGAGGTTTGGATTTGAAGCATTCAGTGTATCTGCTTTTCTGTGTGGATTTTTCCAATGTCATGGGAAAATGGGGGCCCCAGGCCCATGGTCTAAATAACCTCACAGTCATTCTAACTCAAACAAAAGTCATTAGTGCTGCCATTTTGTCCTGGCCTCTTGCCAGCACTAATCCTAAAGGCATTACTATCTACCAAAAATGAATATAATAAAAATGGAAAATAAGCAGATGACAGAAGGAAAGATAAGAGAGACAGAAAGGGCAAAGTCCTAAGCAGCAGCTGTTCCACTGCCAGATGCAGAACACATACAGCCCTTGGAGGAGTAAGGTCAAAGAGTGTTGGCTCTCTTCATCTCCAGCTGTGAGATCACACAGAAAAGAGAAATGTGTTTTGGGTACGTCTTTCCCAGCTCAGAAGTTTCTGTTGTTTCTGCATGGGTGTTATGCTTTTGAAATGGGGAAGAAGGAAGCACCTTCCTCCTTATGAAGGAGCAGGAAAGTGTGGAAAAGACAATTTCTTCAGGAATCTCTCTTGTGAAGTAAGAAGCTTCCTTAAGCACATTTTAATTAGACAGTATTGAAAATAAGAGTGTCAGAGAGGTTCTGAGAAAGCATCTTAGAAATACTTGGGTTGCACAGCATGGGGCAATGGTGACGTTCCCTGTCTGCAATGTCAAAATGTTAGTTGCTTGTTTACCAGTCTGAATGTGAAAGTGACTTACTGTCATGTTAATATAACCCAAAGAACTGTGGGCTGAAGCGATAAATCTGCTCAGCCATCATTTCAGCATTCAAGTGTCTCATGTTTTTTCAAGAAACATCCTGTAGTTTTATTCTGTGCTTACCTGAAGATCAACTTTGCTGATAAAATAAGAAAAAGAGGAGGAATGTTTTCAAAAATCTAATCAAATTTGGGTTTTAGGCATGCAGTAGAATTGCTTTAATGCTTTTATACAAATGATGGCAGTTTTCTTAGTTGTGTAATATTAATGCATTAGCCAGATATTAACAGCAGGGAATCCTGTTCTCTGTAAACCAACTAACATCCTTGGTTTAATTGCAAAATACAGGGCAAGCTCTGCTTGTAGACCTGTAGCCTAGTTGAGTCAGACAGCAGTGGGAATTGCATGCAATTACTTGAAGGAAGAATTTAAAAATGTCTCTAAAGGGGTGTGTGAATAATTCCCAACACATACTGTAGTTAAAAATGTTTATGAATAAACAGTGTTTCAGTTGAAGTATATGCATAAGCCATTTTTATTAAATAATACTGAACACTTAATGAACTGGTGGTAGGGTGCAGTTTCAAAGTTCTTAATGGACCTTCTGTTCCTGACTCAGGCCTAGGATTCAATAAATGCTTTTTTTATGTCCAACCCAGTATTCTGAGCTCAGATGATTTTACAGCCAGGAATATTTGCTCTTCTGAGGTTACAGACCACCCATGGCTTGTTTTTTCTTCTCATTTAAAAGCTGAAAATGTAACTAATTAAACAAATATTTCTGCTGTGTTAACTACATGACAGCATTGTTCACAAGGTGGATGCGTGGGTTTTTTTCCTACCCACAACCTTTTTCACCCTGAAAATGAGCATTGGGAGAAGGGAACTGGAGCCTGATTTGCCAGTAAAGTTATCTCAGTAAAAGAATGAGCTATGTAGATTAATTAGATCAGCAAGATGCTAGTCCCTATTAGAAAGGGGAACTCTGTTTTATTTAACATTTTCAACCCTCTGAAAGGAGAAATGGTGCACTCAAGAGCAACCTTTTTAGCTCCAACAGTTAACTACAAAAGCTTCATGGGAGGTAGCTGTGCTCGTAAACTTTATCATCTCATCCATAACATCCGTGCCAGACTCTTCCTTGTGTGTATTTCTTACGTCAGCCTTTTAATTAAGATTGCACACCAGCTAAGATAAAGCTGGAAGAAGTGAGCAATTCAGTCTTGTAGCTATGATGCTGAAAAATGTAACTTATTCAGCAATGTTCTTCTCACTTGTCTTTTTTCAGGCAGGCGATATTAATGTCAGGCAGTCTTTTGTGTCATCTGACTGCCCAAGGATGGGAGAGAGTTTCAAGGAGATTTAAGGGGCAGGCAGG